TGTATCAAAAAGGTTTTTATACTCCTCATGTTCTTCGAGATATTTATATTCCTCGAATTGAATTGGATCATCTGTGGATACTCCTCCACGAGGCATTCCAGTTAAATTATCTATCTCAGCAAAATTCTTTAAGCGTTCAATGCGACTTTCTTCTAACACTCCCTCTATAGAATAAAAAAATCACTCCAATTATGATAAAAATATTAAGGAAACTTTTGTAAAAATATGTGTTAGAAAAACCGTGTTTTAAATAAAGATTGGACCGCGATGAGATCTCGAACAAGAATATCGGTTATCGAGACTTTTCGAATTTGATAAGATTTTCATCCGATACTTCCAGTACGGTCTTAGTTTAAATATACCTTCATCAAAGTTGTTCACAGCAGCGCCAACATTAAAATTGAAGGCGAGAATTAAAGCAAAAAATGACAATAATTTTGCTTTGCCTCGCATTTAAATGCCAAAAAGAATATTTTAATAGAAGAATTTTATGTTTTCAATTTTTTTGATAAAATGATCAAGTTGGGTGTATGAATTGTAAATATATAGAGGGAATGAGAAGAGGTAAAAATAAAGGCAGTTACGAAATCTAGTATTTATTACCACACAGATTGATTGGCAGCTGATGTTTTTTTAGAATTTTATGAAAATTATTGATATGAAAATTAAGAAATTAAAATTTCATTGAAAATATTCTTTTTGCCCTTTAAAAGTACATTTTTTATGAAGGAGATTTATTAAAGGGATTGAGAAATAATAAACTTTCCCGTGGACTTTTCTATCCATAGTCAATTAAGGGAAAAAGCGAAAAAATGATCAGTCAGGTATTCCGTCATTCCTATAGCTATTGCGCGATCTGAGGAAATAGTTGTCGCATTTTTAATCGCTTTGAAGATTTTCCTCTCTCAAAAAATGCCCAAAAATTCGCAAATTTTGTTAAAAAATAAAAGTATCCACAATCCTCAAATGAAATTTTTATTGTGTAACCAATAACAGATGATTGGGGGAATAAAATAAAAATAGTTAAGGGTTGGGGATGGAATCAGCGAAACAGGGCAAAAAATAACACAAAAATCAGCATTTTTAAAAATAATCCTTATCGATTTATCAAAAACTAAAATAGAAAAAAATCAGCCACAATTGGAAACGCCCTCGCAAACTCGTGTTTTGTTTTTCATCAAAATCAATTAATATACACCTTATCCCCTCGATATCTCCCCAAAATCCTCTTAATCCAGTTTCGATATCCCTCTTAATCCCTCCAAATTACCCTGTATGTTTCTTAATGCTTTGATTTATTTCACTGACCGATTGTCACCACCAGTGGGATATGGCAGTACAGCCAAAAATATAAATAATTACAAAATGTTTTAAATGTTTATCAAAAACAATAATTTTAACCAAATGAAGAAAATGTAATTTCCAATTCTACCCAAAAATTTAATTTTGAATTTTAATCGTAATATTTTGGCCAATATTCTTCTGGATTACCATTAAACCTTCTAAGTTCTATTATTTCAATAAATCTGTTTTCCACGTATAAAATAGCGTATTTAATTTTTGAATCATAAATGTTGGAAACCAGGAATTTTGTCTTTGAATAAGACTCGTCTAAACGTTGCTCTCCAATCTTTTCGGCTTTTTCATTTAAATGAGCAAAAGTAATATTAAGATATTCTAATTCAATATAAGGCACTAATTTTGAGCAATCTTCTGATGTTTTAATAATCTAGAATTGCAAGATAAGAAATTAAAGGTACTGGTCTAGTTTATGCGTCCAATGAACTTTTATGCGTCCAATGAAAAGTTTATGAGTCCAATCAACGAAAAATCGGATTTTTCTTAGTATTGCAAAGTTGGGGTATGTTCCAAAGCATTTCTTCATGTTCGGGATTAAGCAAACTGGGCCTGGGACCATTAATTGCCCTATTCCTCAAAATTTCGGTAAGTTATAGCCAATTTTTAAAAATTTCAAAAAAACAATCATAACTTTACGAAATTTCAAGGGATAGGGCTAGGAATGGTCCCAGGCCCAGCGGGCGTAGGTTCCGAACATGAAAAAAATGCTTTGGAACATACCCCAACTTTGCAATACTAAGAAAAATCCGATTTTTTGTTGATTGGACTCATAAACTTTTCATTGGACGCAAAAGTTCTTTGGACGCATAAACTAGACCAGCACCAAATTAAAATATTGAATTTAGTTAATATAATATATATAATATGGGATATTCAATAGTTAACACTATTGTTTTAGATCCACAAATTTTCTGAGAAAATTAAATTTAAAAACGGGGGAAGGGAGGTATCTAAAAATTGGGTATATTGATGGGCGGTCCAGATCCGTAACAAGACCGGAAACCCAAAATTTTCATTACAGATATCGGATATGATAGTCGAAGATTTACTAGAGTCCACCAACCTCACTCATTTGCCGATCAAATTTAAAAAACTTGCATTTATAACAATATCGACTAGTCCCGGCGCATTTAGACCTATTAATTCAACTTTTCTAAACTTGTCTCCATTCATTAAAATTTTGTTTAAAATAGCCATATAATCTTCAGAGTTATTTAAAGGATAAAAACCGATTGTAAATTTATTGCCAACGATTAAATGATTAAAAATAAATTTTAGTTCCGTATTGTAAGCCTTAGTAAATGTTATCCACGAATGTTTACCATAAAATTGTTTAGGAATTTTAGCATTTCCAAATAATAATTTAATCAACTCCGGATTGAATATAAACTCAGTAAAGCCGCAATATGAAAAAGAACAGTTGAATAATATATTTAAATAATAATAAACAATTTTCATTTGATTTTTAGTTCTAATAGGTGTTGGTAGTTGGAGTATAATAGGTTGATTTTTGTAATCTAAAAATTTTTTAGATTAAAAGAATACCAGACTTTTTGAAAAGGGTTGGTCTACGACAGCCGTAAGACTTTTTCTGGGAATGGGGGTATTGGGGAATGAAATGACGGGAGTGAACGGGATAAAAGGCATTGCCGGGCCGAGACGAGGAAGACAAAGAAGTGACCAAATATTATTGTTCTTTCTGTAGGTCCCTTGAATTTCAAAAATTGAAAAAAAAAAACCAACAGCTAGGTATATATATGACAAGATTGGAACCTAAATCATCAGGCAAATATAAAGAGATTGGTTTTTGTAATCCATTACTCCACTAAAAACGAAAGAAAATATTTAAATTTTATGGATATTTTAATTTAACCCTTTCTTCAAGTTTTTCATTAAATTCTTTATGTTGCTCATTAAATAAGGCAAGGTGAAAATTTGCAGGTTTGGGTCTAATCAATTTATGAGGAAATTTTTTGTAGTGTTTGAAATAATTCTTGAAAAAAACATTTTTAAATTTAAATTAATTAAAGCGTTACAATGCGGATTTCATATAATTCCCCGCGAGCAAGTTCTCCTTCATATTTATTAATAAAATTATAAAAATATAAATTTGTTTGTCTGATTGAACATAATTCTTCGAAGTAAAAGCATTTAAAAATATCAAGTTGAATTTCAGTTGGTAGAGAATAAAACATTTCTTGTAAAGTTATTTAGGTCCTAGAAGAATAAAAAAATACAAAAAATACTTGAGATAATTTCGAATTTTGTTCCCTCCATTTTTTCAATCACCGATATTACTCTATTAGGATGGGATAAAATAAATTAAGGCTAAAAATCTGTGCCTTTTAAGAAGTGGAAGAAACGTTATTAAAAATTACCAGACTACTTTTAAATGTGTTTAAAAATAAATTGACTGAAATTAAATCACAAAAAATTAAAAAACAAAAATAATTTAATCGAAAAAGTAAAAACCAATATTTTTAAAAATAAAAAAAAATATAAATAAAAATATTTTTGTAGTTTGAACAATAATTTTTGTTTAAAAATATTTAATTTTTGCGCTCCTTATTTACTAAATTGGCCAATTTTTGATAGAAATAATTTTTGCTTTTTTATTAATTTTATCCAATTCAACTAAAAATAAACCTATCTGTCAAATAGTATTTGTCAAACAATATTAAAGATATAAAAGTTTTATAAATAATTCTTCAAAAGAAGTTATGTAACAAAATGATTTAAAAATTTCGGAGAGGGATAACTCATATAATGTTAAAAATTCTATAGATATTGTATATATGCAAACATATTGTATATTTCCGACAAATATTATATGACAGATTGGCCTATTTTACGTTAAACTGGATAAAATTAATATAAAAGGAATTGTTTCCCCCAAAAATTGGCCAATTTATTAGAAAAATATTTTTACTTCCAATTATTTTTCTTATTGAAAAAATTATTGTTTAAACTACAAAAAAAAGATGTTTTATTCTTTACCACCCGAAACAAAACTCGATATTTTTAAATTCCTCAGTTATGAAGAATTATCTTCAATCAGACAAACAGATTTATATTTTTATAATTTTATTAATAAATACGAAGGTGAACTTGCTCGAGAGAAATTTGATCAAATTTATATTGTACGTTTTTTAAATTGATTTATAAAGTAAAGCAGCTGGGCTATAGCTATCTCCTTTAGCTAGTGCAAAAGTTTATTAGGCGGCTGGGAGCGAACCAGCATCTTCAGTAGACCGGACAGATGTGTTAGCCATTACACCACGCCGCCTACTGCTCAGCCTTAGGAAATTAATAGCTATATGCTTTACAATAATAAAGTTTAAACGTTTATTTAAGGATCATATCGATGTGTTCAGGAGAACTCCTTATAAAGTAATTGAACCCAAGGTTGAAAATCTTGATTTTCCATTGACTGAAAAACTCGAAGAGAAGGTAAATAAAATACAACGATTATGTAGTATTCTTGCTTTTTAGTGGATAAATGCACTTGGTAAACAAATTCCTTTATATTTACCTGATCAAAATTCAAACAACGATATTGCTATTGCCTTGTCTAAAGGTTATATTTTTCCTGATAAAATTTTCATTTAGCCACAAGTTTAGTAACTAACGGGGAAGGAAAAATGGTTTTGGTTGTAATTTTTATTTTTTAGAATCATTTTTAACTTAAATTATTTTCAGATAAGGGCGTGAATGAACGTTTTCTACTTCCACTACCAACATTTATAAGAAACATAAATGACTTCAAAATTGTCTATTATTATTTAAATAAATTATTTAAATGTTCTTTTGAAGATGGCGACATTACTCAATTTATATTCAATCCAAAACTGATCGAGTTATTATTTGACAATGCTAAACGATTCTATATTCAAGACTGCACACTACTTATTACAGATTATAATATTGAAAATATATTTCACTTTATTTTGAATCATTTAGCTAGTGCAACTCTTGAAATTAGTTTTTTTGTGGAAAAAGATATAAAAAAATACATAAATATGTTATTCAAAATTTCATTAAATGGAGGAGAAAATTTTAAAAAAGTAAATCTGATATTTGATAATTTTGCAGAAAATTTGGATATCGTTATAAATGCAACACTTTTTTATGAATATATTCTTGAAGTAAATTATTCGAATAAAATTTAAAAATAAATTAAAATTTTTAGTATATAGCAACATCTAGAGATTATTCGAAGATAGTGCCTGTCATTAATTTACATTATAACAATTCATCAAATCTTGAGTTAAGCAAAAGAGCAGAAAAAGTTGAAATTAAACAAATATACGGTACAAAATATACAAAATTCCAAATTGTCAATATTCACAATTCAAATGTGAAATTCTCATTTTTCAATCAAGAACGGGAAAACTTTCCGAATGTTGATGTTAGAATCAAAATAATGAAAGAGTAGAATTTTATTAGACGAAAATTCGAATTTATTTGACAACTAAATATTTTAAAAATGTTGATTTTCATTAAATTTTTCAATAAAATTATTTTTAAATATTGTATTCATTTTTTGCGGGTTATGCCAAGGCTTCGATTTCTGCCGATTTTTCCTCATTTTGTGGTTTTTTGATAGGGCGATGAGGATTATTTATAAAAATGATGATTTTTGTGGTCTTTTGAAAATTATGAGGATTTTTTATATTTTCTTGTAGTTTTTAGGATAAAATTTAATTAATTTTCTTCTCAGACCTCAAAATCCTCAAATTTTTCGCCTTCTTATTTTTAATTATCAAGTGAGGTTAGAGATATCAAGTGAGGTTAGATTAACTGGTATTAAGTGGTATTGCGGCGCTGAAGATGGAAGAAATAAAAATTTTTGGCGTCTTCAACGACAAAAATTCCTAATTAATCTAAAACATTTTTAACTTTGCCTAAATTGCACTTCGACAAATGAAATTTAGTTAAGATGAAGCTTATAGTGTTAGCTAACAACTCTCTAAATTTTAGAATTTTTAGTTTAAAATTAATAAAGTTATGATTTCTTAAACTTATCTAACTCTTATTTTTAATTATCAAGTGAGGTTAGAGATCAGAGAGTAAATTGTTTTTCTCTCATTATTAAGTGGTATTTGTCGCGGACAGCGACGAGTGAGTATTCATAAATAGTTTAATTTTATTTTTTGATTTAGCTAAAATTCTTTCTATTGAATTTGTACCGCTTTTGTCTAAATCTAAACTAAAAACTTTCCTTTCTTTTGTATTTAAAATTAGTTCTATTATATTAACTAAGCGCATCTGTTTAATTCACTTTTTTATGTACCAGCCGCCATTCATTAATATATTTTTGCCCACTTTTGGAATGTTGTTTACCTTTAACTTTGTCTACCCGCCTATTTTTCTGACCTATATAATCTCCCCCTCCAAACCCCCCCTTAACTTTCACTATTTTAGATTCCTCTATTAGCTCATTCTATTTGGCTTGCCTCTGTTGTTTTATAGCTCTGGTTCTTGTGGCCTTATCATTAATCAATTTGTTGGACTATTTCTTTGTGTGAAATAAAATTATTATATTATTTGTTGGCTTTATTTGTTGGTATTAAACTCGTGGCTAATTGTGTTGAATCCTTTGGCAAAGCCCAACTTTTGTGAAACCTTATTTATTGGCTCTTTGATACAGTATTTGTTTAATCATCTTTTTTTATTATTCAACCGATTTAAACAAATAATATATCATTCTAAAGCTCTTGAAAAGTTGATTATTTTTAATAAATGGATCAAATTGATCTCAACTTATTTAAAAAGCTAGAGGTCTTAAGAGAAGATAAGTTTGCTATTTTGTGTTTAAAAAATTAAATTAATTTAATTACTAGAAAGAATTTTTATACTTCATTTAAAAAATTTTTTAAATCATAAAATAGAAAAAGTAAAAAATTTTAAAATAGAAAGGAAAGATTTAAAAAGATATTTTGCTCAAAATATAACATCCAAATAGAGCAAAAATAATTTTTTAAATAAAAAATTAGAATTTACTCAACATCGTCTCACATCTCACAAGTTTCTTCCACTAAAAATTAAATAAAAATTAATTTAATTAATTTAAAAAACATACAATTTATATTCAAATTGAATATCTTCATTATAAACAGAAGAAGAAGCTTCATCATCAACAGTTAATGCATCACGTACTGCTTGAAGAAATATTTTTTTTGATCTATCACGATTAGGATCATTAAGCCTTCTAGCAAGTTTTTTAACATTTTGCTTATAACTATTTCTGTAAAATATTTAAATTAATTAATTTTTTATATTAAATTAACCGTTTTTTTAATATTTTATTCAAAGCACATTCAAAGCATATTCTTCTAGCAAGTTTTTTAACATTTTGTTTATAACTATTTCTGTAAACTATTTAAATTAATTAATTTTTTATATTAAATTAACCGTTTTTCTAATATTTTATCCAAAGCATCTTCAAATTGTTGATGAAAATGAGGAGCTTGAACCCAAATACCAACTTGAAGATATTCAACAACTGAAGCATTATAACGTTGATCACCAAGTAAAGGAATACAAATTACTGGAACACCAGCATATAAAGCCTTTTTTAATTTTAAATTAAATTAAATTTTTTTATTTTAATTAAACCAACACCTTTTGGTTTAATTATTTTAAATTAAAAAATAAAAATTAAATTTAATTAATTACCTCAGTTAAACTATTCTGTCCACAATGTATTATAGCAATTTTTGTATTTTTCTGGGCTTAATAATTAATTTAATAATTAAATAAATAAATTAATTAATTATTAAATAAATTAACTAATTATTAATTTATAAAATTATTAAATAATTAAAAAAAATAAAAATTCCGAAAAAAATTTGTGCCAAAAATATTTTTTTAATAAATACAAAAAATCTAACCCAAAATTTCTTGTTGAGGAATATTATCATTAATAAACTCAACATTGTTTAAATTAAAATATCTTTTTTGTTGATCATTAGGAAAATGTGCTTCATCAATTCTTATCAAAAAATGGCATTCGGGGTGTTTGCCAAGTGCACGATACATTGTGTTTAAATTTTCTTGATCTATTCCATTAAAAGATGCAAGTGTTCCAATACTAAGAAAACCAACACATTCTACCTAAAAAATAAAAAAATAATTATATTAAATAAAAGAATTTTTAATCTACATTTTGGAGCAGTACATGATATTTGTGAACTTATAACTTTGCCAATATAGAACCAAATTTAATGAAATTTGGCACGAATGACCCTTATAGTATTAGCTATTAATGTTTTAAATTTCAAAATTTTTGGTTAAAAAATAAATTTTATACATTATTATTCCAAGCACCATCTGTGAAATAATCATTATTATATAAAGCTTTAGATTGATAATTCTCTAACATTTGATCACCAATTGCAATTCCTCCAATAAATTTAATTTTATTATTTAAATTTCTAAGATATGCAGCAAGTTCAGAATGATTAACCAAAAAATATTTAACATTAGAAAATAAAGCTCTAGGTGATTTAAAAGGTTTTTTAAGAGGAATTGCTGATGAATTTATCAATTGAACATTATAATTTTGTTTATATTCGGTATCATATATTTCAGTAAATTTTCTAATTAATTCATTATAATTATTATTATTTTGAATTTGTCGAGCACTTCCTGGTTTACGAATTTTAGCATTTCTTAATCCATCACCTTTTGATGCAGAATAATGCTCTTGAAAATTTAAAATTAAATTATTTTAATTTAAGATTTAACATGTGGATTTAATTTAAAAATTAAAAAAATAAATAAATAACCAGGTACATCAATAGGAATTTTTAATCCTAAAAAATGATAAAAAACGGGTATAGCAGGCGTTGCTGTAGTTGCAATTGTTTTTTCAATTCCTAATTCATTAAATAAAGCAAATCCTGATGTTATTGAACCTATTTCTGCTATTCCTAATTGATAATTTTGATGTTTAAGCCATTCAAATATTCCATACTGACGACCATCCACATAAACAGGAACATTTTTTATCACAGCTAAATAAGTAAATTTAATTAAAAATAATTTTAAAAAATTCCTTACTTTGAAAAAATGTAACTGATCTACATTTAGTCATTTTCCAATAAATATCCAAATTAGTTGTTATACTTTCTTGATCCCAATTGCTTGGAAGTAGACCAACTCCACTAGTATAAAATTTACTATTTTCATATTTTTGATCAATTGGAAGAAGTATAGCTTTAATATCTTCTCCTAAAAGATTTTGAACTTCTTGTTCAAGATTAACATGATGAGTATTTTTTCCTTTGTACGTTGCAATTAAAAATGTCTATAATTTAATTATAATTTAATTTTAATTTTAATTAATTAACTTACCACGCAATAATTTTCATTCAAAATCTTTGCCATTTCTCTCTGAAAAAATTAATTAAAAAATTAAAATTTAAAAATTTTTAACATTGCCAAAATTGCAATTGGCCACAAGAAGTTTGTCTACCTTAAGCTTAAAGTGTTACCTTTTTTTACCCTCCAAATTTCAAAATTTTTAGTTAAAAATTAATAAAGTTATGATTTTTTTAACCTAACCAATTTATGTATTAAAGAATTAAAATAAAAATAAATTATTAAAATTAATTTAATTTAAACTTACAGCCAGAAGATAGTGACTATAATATTGCCCATCAGCCAAATATAGAATTTCATGAGAAACTAAATTAAAAAATATTATTAAAAAATATTTACTTAATTATTTACATTGTTCTCTACCACATTTTGGCATAATTTTACCAACAAATGCAAAAATTAAAAAAATAAATAATTTAATTCTAGTTGAATTAAAATTCATTATAATGTATTAAAAATCTAAAAAAAATATTTTTAAAATTAAATTAAAAATAATTAAAGCTCTAGATTGGAACCAGTTAGCATTTGAAGAAGTTTTTAATTAATTCCAGTCCTATTTTGAAAAGAATTCAAAATTAAAAATAAATTAAAAATATTTAATTTTCTCGAATAAAATTGAAGTAAATAAATAAATTAATGTGAAGAAGGAAGAGGGAGAGCATATGTATAAAGGGTAAGGAAATGAGTGGGAAGGAAGTGAAGAGGAAGTTAATTTTTAAAATTTTAAATTGATTCAGTTAGCATTGTACATTTTATTATAAAATGCATGCAATAAAATAGGGATGGAGAATCGACTTACGCTTCCGTTTTTAAAAACGCGGAAGTCGTTTGCAAGGTGCAAATTTATTTAAATTTATTCAAATTTATTTAAATTTATTTAATGTTTAGTCAATTTCCCTCTATGGTTTTTAGATTTTCGATGACCAACACAATTCGCCGTTTTTTCTTATGTATATAAGAGCCGAAAAGAATTACAGCAAATAGTGATATGGGCAGTATTTTTTAAAGATCCGACGGATACGTATGGTTACCGATTTAGAATTTTATGAA